TATATATATATAAACTTAAATTTACAAATTAATGAAACTATTAGATTTGATATATTTTTTTTAAATTCACAGATCTCTTGCACAGATGTCTCTACTGTTTGGTCAGTTTGTTCGTGGTATGGCAGCTGGGGCACGTTTGTTTGAGGTTAGATTAAAATTTTATAGTACAAAGGAAATAGTAGATTTTTTATTTGAATAAGGTCTACAGCTTAATTTGGAGTACATATTATGACTTGCAGCCTAATAGCAGGAAACATTTGACTTCTTACTGCATAATTTTATTTAGTATCTAACTTAGAGTAGTAGTATTTTTTTGGTCTGGGAGCAGGAAACATTTTACCTTATACTATGTAATTTTATCTAGTACATATCTTGGAGTACATATGTCTTGCAGCCTAATAACGGGAAGCATTTTATTTCCAACCTTATAATCTTATGTAGTATATAATTTAAAGTGACATGTCAGATGTTTAAATTTTGGTGGTAAACTCGTACAAAAAATAATCACCTATAACATACCCCCAAATAATGTGCTGAAACGTTCTACTTCCAATCACTGAAAAGATTCTGTGCAAATTTTTAAAGTTTATAGTAGGTATCTGGTGGTTTATGTCAAAGACCATGGTATTTTAGGTTCTTATGTACAATTGTTCATATTTACCTTCGCCCGATCTTTATCTTAACAATAAAATAAAAAACAACAACAGGAAATTATAAGATAATTTTCCAGTGAAGACAAACTATTTAATAAAACCAGAAGTGGTAATATTATACATTAGTTTCATAAATGTGAAAACAAATTCACAAGTTTTTATACATAATAGCTCTAAGGATTTGAAATAACTATTATTGTGAGTATTGAATTTCATGGTAAACTTCAGGTAATCCAGTAATACTTCTTAAAACTTGTAATTAGGGTAAAGTTTGAATTCAATCCACAAACAGTACCCCATTTTTTATTTTGTGATAGACAGATAGAAGAATTAAAATTAAAAAGCAAGAAACTAGTATTTCAGTTCTGTAAAAGTGGAACTTCAAATTAATGGAACTCAGACTGGTCAGTCCTAGTGGTGGGGTGATAAGTGTGAAATGAGGTACAGCAAAGCTTTTGCTGTTTACTTAAGCAAAACCTTTTATAGTTGTGAAAGAACTACAGAGGCACATTTTCAATTTACATGTGACTGTGAACAATAACAATGTTACTTTAATTTGGTTTAAAGTTCGCAAAAATGAGTGATTAAATTTTCCTTATCATAGACTATTCATTGTTTATCCTGAGATGAAGAAAACTTCGAAAACTGATTTTTTTTTAATCAAAGCCAACTGTGTAAAATATAGCAAAATAAACTTTCCAAGCAGTAGAAGTATATGCACAAGTCAAAATAATTATTTATTTTCTATGGAATTTAACTCAAAAATTTACTTTTCTAACTGATTCTTGCAGGTATTTTATGTATCTAATAAAAATAATATAATTGTTTACTTTAGTTTTATGAGTAACTATGTGATAAAACAGTGTGTAACTAAATGGAATACTACAAGCTTATTTGTCACTGATTTCAGTTCATGGGTCAGTCTGGTGTAATTAGTAATGTGTATTGTGTGAGTGTATGTGTTAAGCTAATGACTGAAGTATGACGGATATTTGGCTTTCCAAAGTCTAAAATAATGTCAGAGTAGCAAAATAATAGTAATTGAAAGTCTTTATAATAATAATAAAAATAATTCTTTAAATTGATTTTATCTGTTTTTATCTGCTCTTTGTTACTGTTGAAAATTAAAATTTTAATGATAGTTTATTATTGTTATTTGTTTACATTTGGTGAATCTATATTTCCAATGACAGCCTCTAAGTTATTTAAAACTGTACAACATACAGTGCATCTCTTAGTAACATTCAAAAGATGGTGAAATCATTTTGGACCAATGAGATTGTGAAAGAGCACTCAGCATAACAACAAATATCCCTTTATTAGTTGACTGTTGGAGCAGCTGAAAGTATTTTTTCACAATTCCAAATGTTTTTTATGCTCCTGACCTTTCATTGTTCCTTTGTTAAAGACCTTTAATTAACTTTCATTCTTTCTAGTTACTATAATACTACATCTCTGTTCCTAACTATTATTAACTGCAGTCATTTGCCTTACTGACTTGATGCATTGCTTTGTGTTATTTTGAAGTTTTGAGTCTTTTGAGATTGATGCTTTTTGAAGTTATAAAGCAAGATTAATAGGTATGGTTCTGTATAGAGTTACCTGAAATTGTAAAGTATATCTCCCTGTTAGTCCTGCATGAAACTAGGGCTAAACAAAGTCCTGCATCTGAGTGGTTGAAAAACAAGGAATGTTCTTTAAAATTTTCATTTGGGAGTTTAACCAATTGTATAAATATAAATGAATAAATATAAAATTTGTGAGTACATTTTTCTCTTTAATGTAATGTTTCTTATCAAGAACCACTTCACTATTCTCAGATTGTATGTAATATAATACATGTCAGTTGACATAATTATATTCAAGGTTTAATAAAAGTTAATAAATAGCAAAACGGAATTGTTTTTCTTTTGTTTATTCACCTAAGTGTTTATTGGCTGTTCTTAGTTTTTCTGAACAGAAATAGAGCTATAATTATGTTTCATTGACTGAAGATCCTTTTGAGATCTTATTTTCTGAAATGTATTATTTTCGGTTTTTCTATCTTTACAACAGCCAATTTCTTGGCTCTAACTCTGCAGAATTAGATAGACTGGTACACAAGTAAATTAGGAGAAGCTCACCACCCAAATAAAAAAGATTATAAAAACCCACACCACTAATACTGTGACAGATTAGAAGATACCTGCTACTCCAATAACAATTTATTAAGAAATAGTTCCACTCATATTGTAATAAATTAAAAATGTGTTTTCAAATATAAGGTTGTAAGAACTAATTCTGTTAACACTACTGTAACAAGTTGGAAATTTGTTTCTTATGTAAGTGATATATTAGGAATCAATTCCACTGACACTGTAACAGATTAGAAGTTTACTTTTCAAGTAAATGAGATAATAAAAATCAATCCTAATGACATTATACTGTAACAAATTGGAAATTTACTTCTCAAGTAAGTGAGATTATAAGGATCAGTTCTATTGTGAAAAATTAGCTGAAGTTTACCACTCAAGTAAGAGGTATTATAAGAATCAGTTACATTAATAATTTGATGAAGTTTGAGACTTGATTAGTAAAAGATATTATAATCATGTAGGCTTTAAGCAGATATTTCTAATTATTATAGAGGGCAGCATTTTTATTGAAATGGTATATCATTCAATAGAAAATAGAAAGCTAGACCATTATAACATAAAGAATTGTCTCAAATGTAATTACTGGTTCCTTTTCTATTTAATATTATGGAGCTTTGTAACAGAAAGCAAACAACATGGCCATAAGCTAACTCTTCAATTTTTATTTACATAAGGTTTCAAATGAAAACCATAAGATACATAATACTGATTGATAAAAAGAAACCTGTACCAATATTTAGTTTTAACATGAGAAAAGCTATTTATCAGTTATTGTGTTATAAATGTGTTAATCCTATAGTTGTGGTTAAATAGAATAATTCCTTTATAACAGCTCTTTAGGCTTTGAACTTTTTTATTTAAGTAACTGATAATCTGTTTATTTTTTATATTTCTGTTTGTTTAATTGACCATGCTTGAATTGCAGTATATTAATATGGAGTCGTCAATTCCACTAGTTGGTGGAGTAGTTATTCCTGAAGATCAGCTACAAGGAGAAGTGGAGTTCAGAAATGTTAGTTTCACCTATCCTACCAGGCCACAACAGGTACAGATATATATAATGTACAGTAGTACTTGAAAAGTAGATGTGGTTTCATTTTCATGTTTTAGATGAACAAAAGGAAAGAAGTTCCACAGTAAAACATGTTAAGGTATAGATGTTTTAAACAACATAACATTTGGAACACTATGTTTTGAAAATAAGAAGGTAAAAGCTTACAGAGGTAGTAATATATGAAATTGAGTGAAGTTAGTCAGAAAGCTGTCTGTCTGTTTTCAGTTTTTACAAATATCATTTCCCCTTTCCTTAATACTTTCGTGGTATAAGTGATTTCCCTAATTATGCAATGAAACGTAAAGCCTCATTATAAACTCTATCTTAGATACTGCTAATTTTATGGCTTTATGTTATGTTTTATGACAGAATGACTTCATTGACAGCTTTCTCTTGAGTGCGCCATCGATAGTGCACACTATGATTTAAATAATAATAATTCAATGATCATGATATTTAATATTTTTTTATTTTTTTCAGAATAATTTTGCCATTTTTTAGAAGAGTTATGAATATTTCACAATTTTACGATTGTAAATTAGGGACATCAGATAAAATAATCCTTTGTGTGGATGATAATAGTTCAAGGATTATGATGGGAAGCCTACAATGTGCTTGGAGTGTTTCAATGACAAACATAAATGAAAATTAGAATGAATTAAAATATTCATTGTGTATCTTTTTTTTTCCAATTTTCATAAAAGACTTTCTAAAAAAAAGTCTAATTAGTTTTTGCTCCACTTAGGCACTAGGAAAATTTTCTTTCCATTTCATTTCTGTCCTTATTATATATAACGGTTTTCATAACAGTTGTTTATTTATGAAAGAAATCTCAGTTAGTTTTCTTTTTTTGCTTCATATACTCACAATGAAAAATTTAATGCCAGTCTCTGGATGTAATTTTAAAATAAATAGTGATTTAATCATGTAAATTTGTTTTATTTCATTTGTCCTTTCAACTTGGCATTCGTACTCCACCTGTTGTACATAGTGGAAAGAGTGACTTCATTATAACCATTTGTACAAAATATATACTTTCATATAGGACTTTGGAGATACGAGGTGTGGTGCTGTGTACCATGGGTGGTGCACGATGTCATGAACGTGTTAAGGTAGTGGGAAATATAATTGGCAGTTCTTTGGTTAGCAGTAAAGTTAAGAAGTTTTCTCATTTTACCCCATCACATTTGTTATGATTTGTAATATAATGTTATCTTATCTTCTTTGCATCGCTAATACTTTGAAGAAAAGTAGTATGACATGTATTTTTAAGAAACCATTACTATGAACTATGGTGGAAAAAAACATTCAGCTTCAGTTTCATTACTGCATAGTTTTAAAGAACCCATCTGCTTCAGATACTGTTTACTTCTGACAAATAAGTCTGGTCCTAGATTATACAAAATTTTTAGGTATTTGATAAATCTTCTGTCTTTCATTCTGTAAAAATTAACACTAGATTTTAAATATTAACACAGAACTTTGTCAGAGGTGGAGTTTGGTCTATTAAGCAAATGATAATATAAAATGAATTGATTAATTATATATATATAAAAGATATATTGTCTCTGTAAAGAAGAAGGTATTACAAGTATTATAATTGATATCTTGTTCATCTAACAAATACTTTTAGTGAATTGATTAATTATATATATATAAAAGATATATTGTCTCTGTAAAGAAGAAG